TAGCAGCCAACTGTAAACGCCTCCAGCAATGGCCATTTCACCCACCTGGAGATGACCTGCCCTGATTTACCTCCACCTCATGAACTGAAAGTGCCACCAACCACTGACAACTGCTACACTGCCCAGAGTTTAACCCTCCCTTAAGGATCAGAATCTCAATCTGCTTTGAGCATTTCCAGGCAAGTTCCCTTCATGCCCCTTAACACCATGTGAGTAAAGCATCAGCGAATGTACCACAAATCAGCTTCTTCTGCAGGGTTGGAGGAAAGAGAGCCCACAAGAACAACCACAACCTTCCAGTTTTCCTTATGCATTTTAAGCCAAAACCTAGCAGCAGCACTGCGTGGAAAGTGCCAACTGCGCAGATACATAAAAATGCAGAAGCTGAAAGGCACAGCAGCCAAAGGGAACAATATACAAGGACTGTGAGCTAACCCCAGCAGGCAGCTCAGCCCTGCACAGCCCCTCGCTCGCACCCCCGGTGCAATCAGGGAGAGAACTGGAAGTTAAAAAGTGAATTGAAAGTTAAAAAGTGACAAAACTCAAGGGTCGAGATTAAAACAGTTTAAAAGGAAAAGCACAAGCCATCACCCACAGCTTCCATTAGCAGGCAGGTGTTCACCATATCCAGGAAAGCAGGGCTCTGTCAGGCATAACAATGACTTGGAAGACAAATGCTGTAATTCCAAATGCTGTAATTCCCTTCCTCCTCCTTTCCCCAGCTTTCATTGCTGACCATGACTTCTGTGATGCCCTCCCAATTCCTCATGAAACCCCAGCCCATCTGCTGTCAGGGAGGAGTGATAAACAAAAAAGGCCTTGGGGTGTGTAAGCCAATGCAATACAAGTAACGAGTGCAAAACACTGTTATGTTAAATTAATTCTGTCCCACATTAGTACCAATACATTTAATTAATATAAACAATTTCAATTAAAAAAAAAAGAAAAAAAAAAGAAAAAAAAAAAAAGCTTATTCAGGACAAGTAACAGAATGCCCCTTTAAAGATAAAAGAGATTTTAAAGAAAAACTTTCTTTCAACCTGCTCAGCAAAAAATACTGTTAACCCTGCCTTAGGATGCGTTGCCACATCTTCTGTGCTATGGGTACTGCTTACTGCTAAACACTAATCTGAGTAAACACTTGCTTTTTGACATGACTGCTGTTAGAGATAACAGTGAATCACTGCAGTTAGAGCTCCCCAAGTCTCTTTGCTGGCAGTAAAGCCAGTTCAAAAGTTTTTGTCCTCTCCTAGCACAGTCTTCTCTTACAAAAGATATTCACACCCTCTCCATTGTGCTAATCGCTTCTTGTGGGGTGCCACTAACTCAGACCACTAAAATAATACAGACAAGCAAACCACACACAACAACAACAACAAAAAAAGATAAAAGGATATATGCCATAGGGAGGTTAATGTTTTCACACAGAGAGCTTCCAGCTTCCTGATGTATTCCTAGGATATCCTGAGTTAACAATCACTAGCTTAAAAAATGTATTTTCTTGCATACCAAGCTGTTTATTTTGTTAATTACATGCAGGCAGTAAAAGAGCAATGTATGCCATACATGATGAAACCACATCACATCATATCACAGCTGGAGAACTCCCACTACAGGTACTGCTAATAAACTTTGGATAGATGACCTGATGATGATCTATATGGCACTTCTCCAGAAAAACAGTAGGTCTTTAGAAACTACTCAGACTAAAATCTTTCAAGACAGTGTACAAGACAATACTAGGTTTCATTTTTTTGGTCTTCCATCTCAACTCTGTATGGGACACAAGATACCCAGCACTAGTCAGGACAAGACAGGTCCACAGACAGGCAGTGGAATTGCTGTTTAATATAATTAATTTCAATTCAGATAACAAGCAACACAGCCATGCATGCCATTACTTACACAAGTAGTTGTCACAGACTGAGACTGTTGGATGTCTGGGGCCAAGAAGCATCTGTCCATTTTATCTCATTCTATCACCAAAACATTAAGGTACAGACTTTCCAACATATTCAAGAACTTTTTGCTGCTGCTGCAAGCAAGGTGAGCTGAGAGTTTATCCAGCTTTCGCCTTTGCAGAACCCACTGAGCACTGCGGGCAGGGTAGTTTTCCTACCTGCTGCATCAGTGGGCTGAGCTTAGAAGGACTAACAGCTTCTGACGGGGGTGACTACAGGAATTCTGACTAAACCTGGCACAGGCACAAAGTGAGCATTGCAACCCTGACTTAGACTGTTATTTTCAGGAGACATTTCAAGCAGCAACTGAAATAGGCTGGTGAGCTCAAAGCAGTAACAGGCACTTGAGCTATTTAACATCTCAATACTCTGCTTGTTACTAACCCCGTGTATGTGCCCACATGCACTTGTATGAGTGTGTATAAAAGGGGTAGTAGGAGAAAATAAATTTCAAAAATGATCAAGCCTTGCTGGTATCAAAAAGAATAATAAAAAAATTACCATTATTCTTTCCAGTAACATCTAAACATTTTTTGAGACTATCAGGAGTAATCAGGCACCACCCTCATGTCAAACACAGGCAGGATACCACTTTAAGTCATAATTACATAGCTTACAAATGCACAATTGCAAAATACTCCATTTTCTTGATACTCTTGGCTGGTTGTTCCAGGCTCACTCATGCACAGGAGAGATTATACAAAGATTAACTACTTAAGCTACAAAATGTCCCCAGAATCACAGACAGCACATTTGACAATGATCCTTCATTCTTACAAGCAAACGAAGCAAGGGGGTTTTCAGATGACTGAGCATAAGGAAGCATGATGAACTCCTAACCCACACATGCAGGGCCACATATGAAAAGAAGCCTAGAACTGTGCTATCTGTGCTTAGCTGTGAAGCAACCAGGCTTGGCAGAGCAGGCTGTGGTGGTTAATGGGGCCTGCACAGCACCCTAAGCAATATTTCTGTCTCACTGCAGGTTATTGGCCACAGGAGCAAACCTGCCACGGAGCATATGAGCAGGCACAAGGCACGGCAGCCACGTGTGCAGCACATCACCCAGCCCCACGCCACATCTGAGCGAGGGAGCAGCACGGCCCTCTGCAAACACCACTCCGGCCCTTACCAAAAAAGGCAGGTTTTGATTCCCAAACCTCTCACGAGGGGAAAATCCAGCATGGGGAAAGGGGGTGGGAAGAGGGCCCTTGAAAAAACATCAGGAGCATGAATGACACGGGCAAGAAGAAATGCACAGCACCGATCACCCAGGACTCCTTAGCACCCCAAACTCAGGGAAAGGTCATCTTTTCCTTCCCATAATCAAACTCCTTTGCGTAAGTAAAAGAGGTGAAGAACCTGCACTCTGATCACTTATTCCCATGTAGAGATGTAAACCTTGCTTTTCACAGCAGACAGGAGGATTAAGGATGTGCAAGGAGAGAAGAAGCCAACACAGGAATAAATTCAGACCTTCTACAATAATCTACTATTCCCAACCTACTCACTTGCCTTTAGCTTTACCTTTTGTTGTGGTCAGGGGAAATACGCTTCCTTCTTCTCTTGCCTCCATATGTCTTTCCAAAGATCTCAGTTTTACTGTAATATAACCATATTTCATATCTACCTACTTAATCCCAAATACTAAGTCTGTCTCTGAAGATACACAGGAAGCCTTAGCAATCTCTACTTCTTTATTGCAAAATGGAGTCATCTTAAACAAATGCAAACAATGCTCTTTGGGAATAGATTTAGGAAGAGGATTAATAATAGGAATTAGATATTAGAAGGAAGTTCTTCGCTGTGAGAGTAGGGAAGCACTGGAACAAGCTGATCAGGGAACCTGTGGATGCTCCATCCCTGGAAGTGTTCAAGGTCAGGATGAATGGGGCTCTGAGCAATCTGGTCTAGTGGAAGATGTCCCTGCCCATGGCAATGGGATTGGAACAAGATTATCTTTAAAATTTGTTCCAACCTAAACTGTTCTAAAATTCTATTAAATAAATTTTGAGTTCCTTACCACTCAGCACACTTTCTTAATAAACCTCTTCCCTGACAGACTTACGGTTTGACAGTTTTCCAGACAAATGAACTGAGGAGCCATCACACTTCTAAATGTCTCCTACTGAAATACTTCACAAAGTTTTACCCACTAAGCAAGTACTGCCAGCCCAAAGTATCCATCACTGGATATCTGGGGTGTATAATACTGGATATTCCCTCACTGTCCATGCCCAGCATCTACACACAGTGAGCTGGCGTGGGAAAAGCGTGTAACTTCTCGAGTCCAAGTGATGTGTGGAACCCTCTGAGAACATAGACCACAGCGGAGTGAAGCATCACTCTTGCCATTCCTACAGCTCCATAGCCTTGTACTCCTCACTGGAAATCTTCCAGAACCATCTGGATGCAATCCTGTGCCATGTGCTCTGAGATGACCCTGCCCGAGGAGCGAGGTTGGACCAGATGACCCCACTGTGGTCCCTTCCAACCCGAGCCGTTCTGCGATTCTGCACTTACTCTCCACCTATACGAGTCATAAGTGCATCATCTGACTGACACAATTCCCCCTCCACCCAAATACTTCACCACTGACCGAATCGAGTCATTTTACCACAACCCCAGCGTCCCCATTCCTCGGTCACGCCGTGGCTGTCCCAGCAAACGCCACCCGCGTCCCCGGAGCGAAGAACCACGGCGGTGCTCGGTCCCGATGATCTCGGGGATCTTTTCCAAGCTAATGGATTCTGTGGAACCAGCAGCTAACACGGGGCCGCCGCGCATCACTGCCCCGGCACCGCGGCACCCCTGCCCTGCCCACGCCGGCTCCCAGGGGCTTTGTCCGCGGCACACCGCCCCTTCCCCCGGCAGGACGGGGCTCCTCGGCCGCCGCCGACCCGGCTCCGAGCCGGGCGGGCAGCGAGCGGCAGAGCCGAGCCGTGCCGTGCCGAGCCCTGCCCGTGGAACCGCCCTCAGCCCCGGGAGCGGCGTTAAAGGGCAAACCGGCGGCCGGCCCTGCCTCGGTCCCTGACTCACCGGCGCTGAGGGCGGCGGCGGCGATCAGCAGCCACGCCGCGCAGGGCCGCCCCGCGCTGCCTCCGCCTGCCGCCATCTTCCAGCCGCCGCCGCCTCCCCGCGGCGCCCTCATTGTCCGCCCCCGGGCCCCGCGGGCCCGCCCCCCGCCCCCTGCCCCGCCCGCCCATTGGCTGCTGCTGCTGCCAATCACACACACCCCCCGCGCACCGCTCGCCCCGCCCGCGCCCTGCCCCGCTGCTCCACGGGGATTGGACAAGGCAGCCATCAGTCAAGTCCAGGTGACCTATGGGCGTAGGGACGGCACTGTCCCGCCCCCCCAGCCGTGCGCGTCGCTGGCGCCCCCCCGCGGCCGGCCGGCGGTGTTGCGGAGGGCGCGGGCGCCGCGGGGCCGCTCCCGGGCGGTGCAGCCCGGGGGTCGCAGAAACGCCGAGTCACAGAATCGCCCGGTCCGTGAGGCTGGAAAAGACCTGTGAGACCATCGAGCCCAACCCATGGCCCAACACCACCATGCCAACCTTACCACGGCACTGACTGCCACGTCCCGCCTTTCCTTAAGCACCTCTCCAGGACATCCCTGGGTGGCCAATCCCAATGTCTCATCACGCTTTCTTGTGAAGGAATTCCCCCGAATGTCCAACCTCAACCTCCCCTGGTGCACCTTGAGGCCACGTCCTCATATCCTGTGGCTGGTTCCCTGGGAGAAGAGACCAAACCCCACCGGGCTCATTTCAGACGGTTGTAGCGGGCAATAAGGTCATCCCTAAACCTCCTTTTCTCCAGGCTGAACACCCCCTGTTTCCTCAGCCGCTCCTCACAAGGCTGCCCCGAGCTCTGGCGCTGCCCGACAGTTACCCTGCAGTGCGGGAAGCTTATCCAAGTGCCTTTGGAGGCATGCTACCAACCATGCCAGCTGGCACTGAACCTGTCTGGACACTCACTGACAGCCACAAAACTGACAGTCACTCCAGTGGAGTTGTGCTTCCTGTAGTCAAGATCACCCAGGAGCTGTGGGGTGACTGTACCCCGTAAGGATTCATCGGTGTGGTGTGGTGTGGTGTGGTGTGGTGTGGTGTGGTGTGGTGTGGTGTGGTGTGGTGTGGTGTGGTGTGGTGTGGTGTGGTGTGGTGTGGTGTGGTGTGTGGTGTGGAAGTCTCCATATGGAAGTTCTGCATCCCTCGCTCAGTTTCCAGCAGGCAAGGCCAGCAGGAGCAGATCCCGGTGCTCACTGAGTGCCCCAGCCCCTCTGCCAGCCTCGAGCTCCCCTGGGTGCACGTTATGGCGCCGGTTTGTCCCAGGGGAAGTGGGAGTGTGCTGCTGCAAGTGCTGCTTCCTCCTGCCTCCACAGAAATCCTGCCTGTTGTTCCCTGCTAATTCAGAGAGCCTGTTTCAGCGTGCACTGCCTGTAAGCACAAGCTCCTTCAGAAGCTCTCCTGCTGCATCAATCGCACATCCACCTTTGCCTTTCGCCTGAAAATACCTGCTTGGAATTTCCCTCGGCTTGCTCACTGGACTCCCAGCTGCTACACGCCCCCTGAGCCCAAGCTTTTATCCTTCCTTCTTCCTCCTGCTTTCTGAGCACCCTTTGTTGTGCCGTGTTTTCCCAACCATGCATTTTAAAGAAGTTGCACAAGCTGAGTCATATCTCAAGGCTATTGCTCACTGCATCCCTGAGCCTCCAGAAGCCTGGAGGTGCTCTGCTCATGCCCAGTGCTCCGTGGATGCTGATCCTTGCCCAGATCCCTGTGCCACCAGTTTCTCTGCCACTCTCTGGGCACCTCATCACATCTGCGGGTGAAAGAGGCCACAGGAAAGTCCACCGTGTGCCATGCAGAGGAGGGCTGTGGCAGATTATTTTCTTTCCAGCTGTGATGCCAGACACCACCTTAAAATTCTCCTGGGATTTAAAATGTAACAGCTTGTGCATCCATTATTTATACCCTAAGGGGAAGCTTTGGAGCATATTCCTCATCTAACTGTTGTACATGTTTTCTAGAAACCCAGACTAGCAGAAATCCAGGGCACCTCTTGGGAATAAATATCAACAACACAGGCAACTCTTTGTATTACAGGGAAATATTACCTTGTTTGGTTAGCACCTCATTTGACTTCCCTTGTGGGTGGGTCTTCAGCCAATTCATCAATATCCCTGCTTTCCAAATGGAGCAGAAACTGATAGGCAGTGTTAAGACTTTCATTCCAAGCCCGTTTTCCTCAATACTTCCTCTGAGCTCTTTCCTTCCATGGAAGCTCCGCCCAACCTTACAGCTCTCCTGGGTGGCTGGAAGTGCTCTTACTGGCATGGAAGCACCTCAGTACTCAAAGTTCACTGTTTACCTCCAGGTCCTTCAGTACTGCACAGTTTAAAACTGTCCAGTCCTTTGAAGAGGCCAAGCTTCACCCTTCTGGGTGATCTTGCAAGAGAGTAAACCTATTTTATTTTTAATGGCATTTTTCGTATTCTTAATTTGACTGTCCTTTACAGAGCTCACATGTTCCCTTTTTGTGTACTAAACCTGATTTGGCCACACACGGCCCTTACCTACAGTGTCCCTTCCCTGACAGAACTGAGATCACATTGCCACAGGAACAGCCCTGACTTCCCTGTTTGTTTTGTAATAACACAGATGTTCAGTACAGAGAACACTGGGACAATATCTGGTCTACTTACGCAGAAAATTCTTTATCCAGATAGATATGATCAAATTACTCTCTTCTGCTACTTCCAGAGAGGAAACAGGGTGCTGGGACAACCTAATTTGTCCCAAGGAACATATATTGCATCTTCTTCCCTCTCGCAGTGTATGTCCGAAATTCAGACCTTTGTTATCCTTTGTTTTGGAGAGGTCGCTAGTAGCTTGCCACAGAGAGCAAGCGGAATTTTGGTGTTAAAAAAAAAGAGGGGTAATAACTTCTAGGAGGGGAGGAAAATATATTTAGGCTGATTTTAAATTTATAATGGTTTTGATTGTTTTCTCTTTAGCCTGCGTCTCTGTACATCCCAGAGAAATTGTACAGTATACACTGTTTAGTGTGCAAAGATATGCACTCCTGTAAAAGAATATCCCACCCAACACACTCATTTTGAATTAGTAATAGAAGAACAGGAGAGAAAAAGGAAAAAAACAGGCTCTATTTGCACAAGAAAGCATTGTGTGTCCCTCACAGCAATATTTTTTCTTCTGCAGTTGGGAGAAACTGTGACTAGCAGATAACACCACATTCATGTTTATATTGGTTAAATAGAAATGCAGTTTTTTTTTCAAAACTCAAGAGCTGGCAGCAGCACAGTAATTGCATACAGACTTTGAAGAGTTTGGGAACTATTTTTCACAAGAGTCAGTGTTGTTGAGGCTGGAAGGGACACCTGGAGATCACCCAGCCCAACCCCTCTGCCAAGACAGGGTCACCTTGAGCATATTACACAGGAAAATGTCCAGATGGGGTTTAAATGTCTCCGGAGAGGGATAATCCATGACCTCCCTGGACAGCTGTTCCAGTGCTCTGGCCCATTAGCACAAAGAAGTTCTACCTCGTGTTGAAGGGAACTTTATGTGATTTAGTTAGTGGCCACTGCTCCTCATCCTGGCACTGGGCACGACTGAAAAGAGCCTGGCACCATGCTCTTGCCACCTACTTTTGAGGTATTTATACATATTGATGAGATCCCCTCTCAGTCTTGTCTTCCATAACTTGGCTTTTTCATCATTTGATTGAGAAGAATGTCTTGGATCACCCACTTTGCAAAGGTAAGTGTTCTCAGGAAAACTTAGGACAGAAAAGGACGGTAATGATGATCTATTCCAACACTGAATGGATGCTAAGGAACAAATTTCAGTCATGATAACCTTTCTTGATAACCTTGGTACATAAGAAAGCACATAAAATGGAAGGAATTTGTCTTCCTGTCTCTTCCTCCTACCTTTTCCCCAGCTTCTTGGAATATATTGGACTCTAGGTAAAATTAGTTTAGAGGCTGTTACTGTAGAGGCCCAAGGTAACAGTGACCTCCACCCTGACCAACACCAGCGTTCCAAGACACTCTCTTTAAGCAGATAAAGCAGGTCTGCATAAAACCATCATCTGTAAGTTAAGAAAGTAACATTGGCTCTACTCGGCTGTGGCACAGTTTGAAATTATGGAAATGAACCATGAGTTTCCCCTCACCGCTCTGGGGTTTGTGGCCTGGCTGCCGCGGTCGATGGCGTGCAGCGTACGAGCAGCTTTCGCACCCACAGGGAGCCAGGGCTGCCGCGGTGCCCGGCAGGAGCCCGGGGAGAGCCGGCAGCCTCAGGGAAGCGCCTGTGCCCCTCAGGAACAGGGAAGGCCGCGGGAATCGGGCCGGGCCGGAGCTGTCCCGGGCAGGGGTTGCGCGGCGCCACCCCCGCGTTCCTCTACAGGGCAGAAAGTGTACTTTTCATGGCGGCTCGTTGGTCTAGGGGTATGATTCTCGCTTAGGGTGCGAGAGGTCCCGGGTTCAAATCCCGGACGAGCCCGTTTTTTTATTTTCCTACTTCTCCGCAGCAGTGGTGGCTCCCGCGCACAGCGAAGGGACACGGCGGGGACTAACAAAGAGACCCGCTCGTTCGTCTTTAGTGCAAGCAAAAGCTTTAAGAACTCACCAAGGACCGGCCGCTCCTCGCTCCTCTTCGTGTGGCACCGGGCGTCGCTACTCTCATTTTTCCCAGGCAGAATCCCGCCTTCCTCCTCACCGAGAGAGTGCTGCGGGGCCGCTCCTCGCCCGTGCGAGCGGCTCCACCTCGGCACACCGTCCCGGCTGCAGCGCCGTCCCCGGGCCCGGTCCCACTGCGGGCGGGCCTGAGGCGCAAAAGCGCAGGAGCCCCGCGGCGGCAAAAGGTAGGAAGGGGGCTCGCGCATCCCCTTCCCGGCGGGCTCGTCCGGGATTTGAACCCGGGACCTCTCGCACCCGAAGCGAGAATCATACCCCTAGACCAACGAGCCGCTCTGTTGGTGTTTTCCCAGCTCAGCACTTCACTGCCGTCCCGCCTCCTCCCGCCCAGGCCGCTTCCGTCAGCGCCTGTGTGGGTCCGTCCTTGCCGACCACCGCCAGCGGCTTTGCCCAGCGCTCCGGAGCACATC